GTCCCTGTTCTGGCCTACGCAGTGTGCATCCCCCTGCCGCCCCCGAGAGGCAGGGCTATCACGCCGAGGGTGCCTCACTCCCTTAGCGTCTCTGGAATAAACTGGGTATGGAAATGCTCTGAAAGCTTTCTCGAAACCAAACGGATGGGAAGCAGGTTCAAGACTGAAATACAGATGTCCACGCTCTGGTGGGCACGCAGGGCTATGAGCGTGGACCGGGTCAGAGCCGGAGTGTGGCCCTGCAAGACCAGAACTCCCTGACGTCGCAGGCTTGCTGGGAAGACGCCCAGACTCACGTGCAGACTTAAGCACGGCATTGTCTTAACCTTCAGAAGCACCTTGCGGGGTCCACGGAGGTGGCCTCAGGCTCGGCAGACGGCCGACTTACTCTTTTTAAATTGGTGACTATGTGTCTGGGCTGAGAGTCACTTGCAGTTTCTTTACCTCTTAGCTGTTTTTTTTTTTTTTAATGTTTTTATTTTATTTTTGAGAGAGAGAGAGAGACAGAGCACGAATGGGGGAGGGGCAGAGAGAGAGGGAGACACAGAATCGAAACGGGCTCCAGGCTCTGAGCTGTCAGCACAGAGCCTGATGAGGGTCTCGAACTCACAGACCTCCAGATTATGACCTGAGCCGAAGTCGGATGGTGACCTGCCTGAGCCCCCAGGCGCCCCCACTTCTTAGCTGTTCACCTGCACTTGTCACTTTATTGAAGTTCTGCACAAAGTTCCACAATCATGGGGCGTGTTAGTTGCTAAAAATATAAAGGCTCACCCTCGGCGGCAGCCTCTTTCCCGCGGGTAAATCGGCCGAGCGATGCGGTATTTAGGGCCGTGTTAACTCTTGTCTGCTCGTCTGTTTGCAGGGAGCCTGACGGCTTTGGTGTGTCAGCATTCCATCACACCCTTGGCTTTGCCCTGCAAGCTGCTCATTCCAGACAGAGGTACGCCCGTGGGTCCCCGGTGCTGGCCTGGCGTGTGCGCGCACGCGTGTGTGCCCACGTATGTGTGTGCACGTGCTTGTGTGTGTGTGCGCTCGCACAGGTGTGTGGGTGTGTACGTGTCGGGCACAGCAGTGCCGGGTCCGTGACGATCCGTTGAGGCAAACCAGACCAGAGTGTTGCTCTGTGGGTAAACCCTAAAGGCTGGGCATCCGGTGATACACCCCAGCCTGCAGACCCGAGGCCGCCCTCAGCAACACCGTCACCTGACGCACTTTGTGAACCGTTCCCCTGGATAGAAAATGCCCGCAGCGAGAGACCTTCAAGGCCGTTCGCGCTAATTTTTGCGATTCTACGAGTTCAGCAGGGCGTTGATATTTTTGAGCTTAGGTGACAAAGTATTCTCTTCACCTTTGTGACGGTCTGACCATCGCTGTAGTTAGGGAACTAAAGCCCTTGCCTCATAACGGTGGGATTGGCCATATTTCCCAGCTCCCTGGGTAGGCAGTATTAATTTCACAGAACATTACTGTAACCCATACTGGTGACTTTAAAATACAGGTGAGTGCGATGTACCTTTTGAAACTGTTGGTACACAGCGATGCAGAGGTGAGGAAGACGTCTTGCCAGCTCGTGTCGCCGCACCCCCTGCACAGAACCTGGTGCTGGTTTCTGCGGGTGGGGCCGTGGTCCCCAGGAGACCATCTCAGCTCCGCACACCGGCGCTGGCCACCGCCTGGGAGCCCGGTCACAAGTGTAATGGTGTCGTGAAGATTTTTTTCCGATAAGCCAGACTCATTTCTGCGTTTTCTTTCTTGTTCCTTTTCGCAGATCCGCTGGAGGAAATAGCCGATAGTTCTCCCCAGACGGCGGCCAACTCAGCCGCCGAGCTCCTCAAGCAAGGGGCAGGTCAGTAGCTGGCTTCGTGCTCCCGCGTCCTGGTTCCTGGGGGCGGAAGGGGGCTCAGTGACACGGCCTCCTTTGTCACCCCGGGTCTGCGGGTTTCCTTTCCCAGCTGTGTGCCTGAAGGAGCTTCCTTTTCTGGAAGCCACCCCAGGACAGGGTGGGCACCAAGTGCGGGGGGGACAGAACCAGGACTCCCCAGGCTACAGATACCTCACCACAAACAAGACCAGACAGTGGGAGAAAGTCCAGAGCTGCGTTTCATCTGGGGAGATGGGGTGCGGGGGCCGCACCTCCAGCTGTAAATATAAGAGCGTTCAGAGGGCTTCACTAAATAGGCTGACTGTTTCCCCTGCGCTGCCCCCCAGCCCAGGGGGCACAGTCCCTCCCCACGGGGCTCGCCTGGGCACTTTATTTTTTTAATTAATAGACTATTCCTTAGAGCGCTTTAAGGTTCACGTCAAAATTGAAGATGCAGAGATTTCCCACGCACCCCCCTGCCCCTGTGTGCACAGCGCCCCCCGTTACAGCGTTTACGCATCATTATCACCCAGAGTCCGCAATCTACACTGGGGCTCACTCTTGGTGGTGGTCACTCAGTGGGTTTGCACAAATGTTACAATGATGCATATCCGTTAGAGGGTCACCCAAGGTAACTTTGTTGTCCTTAAACTCCTCCATGCTCCGTCCTCATCCCTGCCCTCCAAACCCCTGGTAACAATGGTCCTTTTACTGTCTCTGAAGTTGTGCCTTTTCTAGAACGTCTCATAGCTGGATCGTATGGTTGCTGGCCTTCTCACACTGGCTTTTGTCACTTAGTGATGTGGTGTAAGTCTCCTTCATGTCTTTTCATGGCTCAGTGGCTCATTTTTGTTTTTTTTCTGGTGCCAAGTAATACTCCATCATCTGGATGGACCGCAGCTTATGTATCCGTTCACCTGCTGAGGGACATCCCAGTTGCTTCCAGCTTTTGGCAACTGAGTAAAGCTGCCGTAAACATCGTGTGCAGGTTTCTGATGTCCCCTCCTCTGGGTAAATGCCAAGGAGCACGGCTGCTGGATCGGGTGGTGGGAGCATGTTTCCAGCAGTGTCTTGCAGAGCGGCCGCGCCATTTTGCATTCCCACCAGCCACGAGTGAGCGTTCCCGCTGCTCAGCATCCTCGCCAGTGCTGGGTGTCATCAGGGTTCTGGAGTTTGGCCGTTCTAATAGGTGTGTAGTGGGGTGCCATGTTTTCACCTGCATTTCCCTGATGGCCCATGACGGGGGTCATCTCTTCATCTTTGCTATCTGTATACTTTCTTGGGTGAGAGATCTGTTAAGGTGTTTCGTCCATTTTTTAGTTGGGTTGGTTATTTGTTTTTAATGTTTATTTTTGAGAGAGAGAGAGAGAGAGAGAATACAGAGCACGATCGGGGGAGAGACAGAGGGAGAGAGGGAGATACAGAATCTGAAGCAGCTCCAGGCTCTGAACCGTCAGTACAGAGCCCAACGTGGGGCTCAAACCCACGAACCATGAGATCATGACCTGAGCCGAAGTCAGATGCTTAACCGACTGAGCCACCCAGGCACCCCGGGTTGGTTGTTTTCTTATTGTTGACTGGTAAGAGTTCTTTGTATATTTTGGAGATCAGTCCTTTATCGGACATGTCTTTTGCAAGTATTTTCTCCTATCTGTGGCTCACCTTCTCATGCTCTTGATGCTGCCTCTTGCAGAGCAGAAGTTTTTAGTTTTAAAGAAATCCAGTTCACCATTTCTTTATTTCATGGGTTGTGCCTTTTGTGTCGTATCTAAAAAAATTATCACCAAACCCAAGGTGATCCTGATTTTCTCCTTTGGGATCTTCCAGAAGAGTTCTAGTTTTACATGTTACATTCGGGTCTGTGGTCCACTCTGAGTGTTGGGGGGCGGTGTCTCTGTCTAGAGTCCCTGTTTTGCACGGAGACGTCCTTCCTGCACCATCTGTTGAAGAGACCATCTTTGCTCCATGGCGTTGTCTTTGCTCTTTTGTCAAAGATCAGTTGACTGTATTGTTGGGGGTCTATTTCTCTGCTGTCTGTTGTGTTCCATTGATCTCTCTGTCTGTTCTTTTACCAGTGATACAGCCTTGACTTCCAGCTTTCTAACAGATCTTGAAGTCAGGTACTGTCAGTCTTCCAACTCGGTGCTTCTCCTTTGATCTTATTTTGGCTCTTCTTGGTGTTTTGCTTCCATAGAAACTCCAGAACTGGTTTGTCAATATCCACAAAATAACTTGCTGGGATCTTTATTGGAATTGTATTGAATCTAGAGATCAAGTTAGGAAGAATTGACATCTTGACAAAATTGAGCCCTCCTATTCATAAAGTGGAATCTCTCCATTTATTCAGTTATTTATTTTTTCAAAGTTTTGTAGTTTTTCTCATAAATAGATCTTATACATAATTTTATTGGATTTATACCTAGGTATTCTGCTTTTGGAGCTGCTAACCTAAATTGTTTTGTTCTTTTAGTTCCAAATTGTGATTGTCCTCTGCTGGTGGATGGTAAGGGATTGACTTGTATAGTAATCTTGTTTCCTGCCACGCTCTGTCGCCCCGGTCACTGTTGCAGCATTAGATGCAGCCCTAGTGGCCCCAGTGTGGACAAGGCTGAGGCCACAGGACTCCTGCAGGTCTGCAGCTGTGAGGGAACCCAGTTCCCCACAGGAGGCCTTTCATACATGGTGGGCTTTTGCTTTCAGAAATGTTGGGGAGGGAATTTGGGAGTCTGGTGGAGGCCTGGGCTCGAAATACCTCCTTTCTGCACCTCTTATCTGTAGAATAGCTTACAACTGTGGCTCTGTGATGGAGGTCAGTGAAACATACAGCTATTTTCTTCTTCTGTACAACATGCATTGTTCTTCTGTGCGATAACTCCCTCTCTGCCTCTTGCTCAGCTAAAGTTCATCTCTCTGGTTTCACAACGAATGATTTTGTGTTGAACTCTTTTCAGACTTATCCTTAAGGGGTAAGTTTTGTGTGGCCAGAACAAAGGTGACAGAGTTTGCCCCAAACAGCGAGTACGTTAGAACATGAAACCCCAAAAATGTGGAATGTGGCTGTGTGAGTCCTGGGTTCAAGTCCAGGCTCTGCCACTCAGGGTTTTGACCTCCGGTGATGCACTCAGCCACACAGATCTTAGTATAATGATAATGATCTCTTGCCACAGCATGGCTGCAGAGACCAAGTGAATCTGACATTGAAAACTGCCTTGGGAACTATAATGTGGTCACTCACAAGGTTGTTTGCCTGCCACTGTGCTTTCACGGAAAAATGCTCTTCGTGGCCCAGGAGAAATGGCCTTTCCTCCCTGCTGTGACATCTCCACTTGTGCTCAGCTCAGGTTTACACCCCAGCCCGCACGCCTCTGGACTGTGCACTTGGCTTTATATCATCTCACAGCAAGCTGCCTGGCAAGTTTCTCCTTAAGCATCATGGTTATCAAACATTTTCCCAACAAATGTGCAATTAATAAATGGATC